GTCTAAAAGCTTACATATCAGCGACATCCGTCGTGCTCATTCCTTGCATTGCCTGCGTAAGAGGTTCGCTCTGGACTGTTTCAACAGGTGAAGGTGTGGCGGCTAGAACGGACAGATTGCTTTGCTGCGGCACAAACGCGGGCCACTGCGAATGATTAGCCACTGAAATTCAACAAAATAGAAGAAAAATTCCGGAAAACGATGTTTTCTTTAAATCAGTATTGTAAAATAATTGGCCAAAGTACGGCCTGCCAGTGCGAAGATGCGTTTTTTGCATAGTTCCCCGCAGTTTTTGTTGCCACCGGCACAGGCTTTTTCGGCAAATGCCTATAGCTAAACAAATTAAGGCTGGTCGCCAGAATTGTCAGGAAACACCCCTTTAAAATTTAAGCTTTCTACCATTCATACTGTGGTGTTCTGAAGGAACGACGGAGTCAAAAGCAACGAAACGAGTTCGAAAATTTTGCATCCCTGCCAATGCAGCAAGTCAACTAGCAAAATTAATTTATACGCAACTATGACAGCGTCAGGAAGCCACAACAGGCATGCGTTTTTTATCCAACCAGTTACAGAATTATTTACGCCAACTTACACGGGTTTACATGTGAAAATTATGTGAAGTTGAGTGCTAATTTCGGATTTGCTTACCGCACATATTCGATAGCCATGCACGCAAAAATGCAGCTTTTTTTTCTGCGCAGGTTGCCAATTTACCAAATTCTTATCGCCAAGCTGCAAACCTACCCACACGTGAGACAGAGAGCACATAAGGGGTGACTTTTCCAGCACATTGCCGAGGACCATATTCACAAAATTTCAGCTTCTCGGCAACTCTCTTTATGGGCTTATGAAATTGTCCGCATCAATCTCCACGTGTTCGCACATGAGATGCAAGTGAAAAAGGCCTAAAGGTTGATCTCATGCACATTTACTCGCGCACAGTCGGGCCAGGCTCATCAAATTTTTGAGGAGTTACAAAAGTATTGGATTAACTTCGACTTATTTGTGCACTGGACGTAGGTGCAGGTAAAAGCTGAATTCACATTTTTCCTTGAGCCGCATATAGACAGGGAACATCCTAGCAAAGTTTCAGCTTCCAGCTTGACTGGCTTCCAAACTTCCTATTCAAAATATCTTTTATGCGTTGAGAACTAGGGGTCTGTGAACGTCCACTCCTCGTTTGCGGATCCATTCATATTAAGTTACCAAAATCTCAGCTTCATTTTTTTTTTTTTGCAAAATCTGGAAATTACGATATGCAGAAACACAGCAAGCAGCCTCCTCACAGCATGCGTTTTTGCATTGCATAGTTGCAAGAAACGTAAACTGCTAATTCTGTTCGCGATTTCTGTTGGGCAAAAAAAAAAATTGTTTTAAGACATTTCAGACAATAAACCGTGCATTTTGTAAGTGTGTGGCAGCCAGCCAAGTGAATTGGTACGGGAAAGCTGTCCGCCTTTTCTTTCATCACATTAAAGGCTTCGTTCGCTTCGCGTTGTTTTCGGATTTGTTCCTCCCGAACTTGTTCTAGTTCTCGCTGCAATTTTTCAACTGCATAAAATAATTAAGATTGAAATAGCTTCGACCACTTCAGTTACAACATGTCCCGCATTTTTCCTCTTAAATCCCGTCAAGAACCCCTGTAACTCCTCCCCAGTAATTACTCCGAATCACTGACAATGCCAAATGTTGAGTAAACACCGCCTGCGAGAAGAGTGGCTTGAACGTCAACACGAACAGAGGAGGGTTGGGAGAAGGGCGACAAGCTTTGAGCTGAGTAAAATGAAGAAGTTGCCAGCTGAATCAACGGAGAGAGGAAAAACAAAGAGTTAATTGCTGACCGAAACCTCAAAAAATTCGGGTAATCACCGGAACCTGATAAGTTTGCGCCCAATAAAATAAGAAAACCTCACAAGTTTCTTTTGTTCCTCCTCTCTTTGCTGCTCGGCAAGTATTTTTTCTTGTTGCTGCCGCTCATATTGCTCTTTCATGTGCGCCATTCGCACGCGCTGCTCATGCTTCTGGCGTGCTGCATCTGCCTGCTCTCGCGCCAGTGCTTCGGCTGTCTCGCGCAATAACTGAAACATTAATTAAACGATTGTAAAAAATCATTTTCGACACTCAAAAATTTGTCGCTTCCATCGAAATCATTAAATTTTTTATCTTTTTTTTTCCTCTCAAAAATAAGACCAACATCATCCTGCTGCTGTTTGTTAAGTGCGGCTGCGCGTTCCTGATGCATTAAGTCGAGTTG